ACCCTCCTAGTAAAATAGTTTTTCCTAATATCCAATCTGGCCCTCTCACTGACTGTCTGTAGTTTCCTGGGTTGTTCTTATTTCCCTTTTTATAGATGGGCACTATATTTGCCCTTTCCCAATCTTGTTTGTAATTTGACCTGGTTTCCACTTTTTATATGACTCCTTTTTGATTTTTAGATCATGCAAGATCTCCTGGTTAAGCAAAGGTGGACTTTTGCCATACTTTCTATTTTTCCTATGCAACATAATAGTTGCCTTTTGGGCCCTTAATAATGTCCCTTTAAAAAACTGCCGACTATCTCCAGTTGTTTTTCCTCTTAGAATTGCTTCTCATGGGATCTTACCTGCCAGCTCTCTGAGTTTACTAAAATCTGACTTCCTGAAATCCATTTTTGCCATGTCAAGAGTCACAGCTTCTCTGGAGGCTATGAAGGAAGACTGAAAGAATTGGGTTTGTTTAATTTGGAAAAGAGAAGATTGAGAGGGGATATGATAGCAGTTTTCAAGTACCAAAAAGAGTATTACAAGGAGGGAGAAAAATTGTTCTCCTTGCCCTCTGATGATAGGACAAGAAGCAATGGGCTTAAATTGCAGCAAGGAAGGTTTAAGTTGGACATTAAGAAAAACTTGCTCCCTGTCAGAGTGGTTAAACACTGGAGTAATTTGCGTATGGAGGAATCTCCATCATTGGAGATATCTAAGAGCAGGTTAGATAGCCATCTATCAGGGTTGATCTGGAACATCAAAATTCAGAACAAGTGGTTAACAAAGAGCTGTATAAGAATGCCCAGTTGCAGACTCCATTTGCATGGCTCCAGATTCATGGGAAGGGGAGGGACAGAGAGGACTGAGGTTCAAGGTGTGAGGCCATATTTACATTTCTGGGATTCCAGGATTGGTGGATTTTGTGGACCACCCCCAGGTTCTGAGGGAGGGGGGCCAGAAATGAGGGATTAAATGTGCGGGACAGAGCTGCAAGTGAATGGGATAGGGATGGGGGTGCAGGGTCTGGACAGAAGGTGGGATGCAAAAGGAGTTAAGGGTGCAAGGTCTGGGTGGGAGGTAAGGATGTTAAGTAACGGTTAATTTACTAGTTGAGTAGTCAGTGGAATTTCCATCAACTACTCGACTAGTCAATAGGCACTTCCACATTCCTCCTTTGAAATGTACAAGAGCCCCTGCTGGGCTGACTCCGGGCTGCACACGGTGTGCAAGTTTTGAAATGTACAAGAGTCCCCAGTGGGGGCTCTTGTGCATTTCAAAGCAGCAGCACAGCATGGAGTCAGAGTCTCCTGCTGACCCCAGACTCCATGCTGCGCTACTGATTTGAAATACCACACGGAATGGGAGTCAGCAGGGGAACTCCCCAGCTGATCCCGGGCTCTGCGCAGCACTTCCCCAGAACCCGCCTAAATGCTGCACTAAAGCCCGGGATCATCTGGGGAATCCCCAGCTGACCCCGGGCTCAGTGTTTTAAAGGAGCAGCGCTGCACAGCTGAGACGCAGATCAGCTGTAGAGCAATTGCCCCTTTGAAACGCCGCCTTGGAGTTTCAAAGAGGCAGCACTGCACAACTGATCCCAGCTCAGCTGTATGGTGCTGTCGCTTTGAAGTACCCCTTCCTCCCACTTTGCTGCCTCTATCTTATAGAGGCAGCCAGGGGGGGGGGGGA